ACCCAGGTCCCCATGAAAAACCAGGCTGGCAGTTTTGCTGCCCACTAACTTCAAACACTCCAGAAGGAGTGGCCAGCAGTCAGCTTCCGGAGCATCACCACAGGGCAGCACTGGCTATACCACGAGCCTCTAATTTTGCAAGAAGGTGGTTTGGCTGAGCTGCCATCCTGGGCTTCAGAAAGCGTCCCCCCTTGCAGCATGACCAACTGGCCCACACATTGACGGGCAGCATGCAGACACACCCTGTACATCTGCAGGAGCTGCTCCAGCCACCACACCCCAACCCCAAGCCAACAGCACTTGTAGAGCAGGCAGGGAATGATCAGCCACGGCAGCCGGCACCCACACTGAACCGCTGCACCTCGGAGAATGTTGAGCAGGGTTTTCTCCACCTGGCTGTCCTGACACAGTGAACCTTCCTCTTCTCACCCCTTCCTACTGCTGAGGAGCTGGGACTTTCTATACTAAAAAATAGGCATGTCTTCAGTGAGGCACTAACTGGAGGCTGCGGTACGGACCAAATCCTCAGAGTGTGGCCTGCACAGCATCCCTGTCTTGTCAGAAATGCAAAGTCTCTTCCCAGCAGCACCCCACTCCCCACCCCCATGCCCTCCCGCCCCCCAAACCCCACCCCCCACTCCCTGAATCGTAATCTGCATTATCATAGCTCCCCTGGTGACTTGTGTGCACATTAAGGTGTGAGAAGCCCCAGAGCTAGATGGATGCTTTCCCCAGCCCTTGGAGGTGGACATCTGGTACCTCAATTGAATATTCCTTGAGCCTTCTACCCAGAATGCTAGGACACCACTGCCTGTGAGGGTAGAGCCCCAACTTTCCTTCCCTGTGAGCCCAGGGCCAGGATTTCACCCACTCAAGCATTTCAAAAAAGGAGACACGCTTGATCTGCTCCCTGCTGTGCACCGAAAGGCTATAGTATTTCAGAGGTCCTGCAGGAGGCCTGAGCTTGCCTAACTCCAGGCATGTCTCCATGAAAACCAGTATTGTCTGCAGGACCAGGGAGCTGCACAGCACAGCACAGCCACAGCCACATCACCGGAACCACAGAGGCATCTCTCCAGGGGCTTCACAGCTCCAGTCCCAGGAAGGTGGCATGGCTGCTGTGATTTGCAGTTCACATGGCCACTGCTGCTGTGACTGGGGACACCCCTGCTGTCCACTTGGGGAAAGAGGTCCTGGCATTGCAATCCAAGGCCAGGCTGCCTGCTTCAGCACCAGGCTTCTCTCGCCCTGGTGAGAAGCAAGCACCATTCCCTGCTACCAGGCACCCAGCAAATGTCCCCATCCAGGGAAGCAAGTAGCAAGGCAAAGAGGGGGCCCCACGTGGCCTTACCCCTTGAACCTTTTCTCTCCCAGGCCAAACAGTAGGGAAGCTCCTTTCCTCCTGATGCATATTTGGACAAGGACTCTGGGCACCCAGACACAGAGCCAGCACAAGGCTTCTGGTTACCAGTGTCCTCCTAGGAAGTGCTATAAAATGGGGCTAATGAGAGTACCAATCCCATAGGGCTGTGTTCTGTTACGATCTTTAATATGCAGGTGAGAAAACCGAGGCAAAAGCAGTGAAGTCTTTGCCCAAGGTCACAAGCTGACTGGGGTGCTGCAAGGCAGGTGAGGCTGCTAAATGAGCACAGTCAGCAGTTTCACCAATTTCCCACCACAGGACTTCTCCAGCCTGTGCTGTGTGACCCTCCATGGAGACGCTCAGAAATATCATAACTCACAATTTTTTCCCCAAGGTAACTTCAAGGGCAAGGTGTTCCACAGAACACATTTTGGGAAACACTGCTCTGGGGACCGCCCAAGTAAAGTTGGTCCTGATACAAGGCACCCTGGCCAGGAAACTGTTACATTATTAAGGGAACAGATCTGTGAGCTCTGGACTGAGTACAACAGGGATGGAACGCACCCCTTCTCAAGGTATGACACTGGCCTGCCAGGCCTTCAGCCACGGGGCCTCTCTTCCTGCCCCATCCCAGTCTTCCGGCCCTGCAACAGCCAAGAGCCATGAGCCCAAATCTCCATCTGACCCTTACTGGTTATTTGATCCAAGGACAATAGACATCAGATTCTAGAGGTTCCTTTTGGCTTGAAAGTTCTATTTGTTGTAGTCTGCGTCCCTCTGGGGCCAAAAGTTTGAGGAATCAAAGGGAAAATAAACTCCTACCTTATGGAGCTATGGTAGCTCCCGTTTACAGGAAACCTGCTAAGTAAACCAGGCATTTTCTGGGTGCTATATGCCCATTACTGCTACCCCTTATAAGAACCCTACAGCACAAGAATCATTAGGTTCTTTTTACAGGTGAAGAAATCAAGGTTGCCAGCCAAAGATGCTCTGCCAATAAGTGTGAGATCTATGATTTGCACTGGGGTCTCTCTGACTGGAGAGTCTCCACTAAAGTGCAAATTTCCATAAAAAGAGCCAGGAGCAAGAAGCAAAAGCTCTCTGGGCAAGGAAGGTCAGCTGGAGCTTCCCTGTGGCTGGGACCTGAGAGCTTCTCCAAAGCCAAAAGGAGAATCTGAAGGTCATCGATGAAGCCAATCCCCAGTAGGAAAGGAGGCACCAGGGCCAATCTGGAATCAAGAACTGGAAGGCCCTGAAGCTCCAGCCCTGATTAGATGCATCAGACCAGACCCTGGGTAATTACCAAGCCATAATGGGATCTGATATTTCTATTAGTCACGAGTCTGACAGGAAAAAAACGTGTTGTTTTCTCAGACAAAGCTATGGAGAAAATACCTCAATAATTTATTACATGCAGACCAGCCTCCATCAAGCCCAAACTTCTAAAGCAAGGACAGCTCAAACTGAGAGCAGGAATGGTCTATGCCTGGCCACATGCAGGCCACTCAGCGACCCACAGCTCCATCAAGAAGATGGCCTCAGTTTCCCAAGACTAACTGAAAGAGAAACAAACTGTGTGCTGGAAGAGGAGAAGATGGGAATAAAAACACATAAGCGCTCTGAGGCTGCACTCCCAAAGAAACCACAGGACACTTGCAAAATCTGTTCTAGAAACTTCACCTATAGTTTCTCAACTCCTTCCACCCACTGACACTCAACCACAGAGCAGAAAGGGACCCCAGAACTCACAGAATTCAATTCCCATATATTAAACACAAGGGAAGAGAGACCAGAGAAGTCAAATGACTTCTTCAAGGTCATGGCCCTATCTGGGCTGCCGGAGCAGCTCCCTGTTCACTACAAGCTATAACTGGATGGGACCTCAATCCTTGATGGATTAGTGAGTACAGAGCTTTGATGAAACCTAACAGAAACAGCAATAATGAGAGAAAATACAACCAAGAACACAGTACTAGAATGACTGTGCCCAAGTTCCCAACAGGGAGAAAATGTGATTACTTTTCTTCTTTCTTTCCTAAAACAAAATCCTCAAACCCTTCTTTTCAAAATAGTAAAGTCATTCACCACTTGAAATTCAGAAGCCAAAATTACTAACAACGAGATACCTCATGATATGCACATTCACAGTCCCAGGTCCCTTTGATCAAAAGGCATGTACAGTCCAGAGGCCAAATGCTGGTGATTCTGGAGCTCCCTGCTGGAACCTATCTCCCACAGAATTTGCAGTCTTCCAATGGACTCCAGCTCCTAGGCAAACCATCCTGGAACTGAATGAGGGTGAAAGTGAACACACTTAAAGACTGGTAGAATTCTGTGGAAAGGCAGCCTCGATTTGTTTGGGAGGGTTAGCCCTAAATGATTATTCCAAACTTAAGCCAAATGCATTCTTCATACAGCATCTCAACAACTATCAAATACCTGGAAAGTAAAAAGAATGAAGGGCCAAAAAACCATGAATACAGTAAAAATACAGACCTTGCAGTAGAAAGAAAAGTTTGTCAAAGGCCTAAGTTACTATTTTGGGGTATAATGAGCTGGCTACTCATGGTTTAATTGAACAAATCAAGGAGTAGGTATTAAAAGATTCTGGGCCTGTTTCAAATTGGACTCTAATGGTATCAAGAGTGACCTAATCTTCTTGTACACTGGCCTCACATCTCCCCAACCAACCGCAAGCATCTCCCTTCCCAGGTTGATTCTTTGTAAAAACTTTCAGTTATGTCAACTCAGCAGGCCTTGGAGCTACAAAACATAGCCAAATATATAGAAATTGCCAGAAACCTATTTTCTTGAGGAAACCAGCAAAAATTATGCTGGGTCATCATTTAGGAAAGAGATTCTTTATGTGAATGATCCAATTAACATTTCATCACAGGCAGTGCAGCACCCCTAATGTACCCTGAGAGTAGAAAGACTTCAGAAGTTGTGTTTAAACACAAGAAGTTGTGTTGAAAAATCCCAAGATCACAGAAACACCAAAATGTATTTTGACTCACTGAAAAAAGTTTTCATTATGATGAAGATTGCCCCCAGTTCCTTAAGGATAAGGAGACTTAAAAAGTTCACCAAAATCACTCCATCTAGAGAACATTTTAGATGCGCACAACCATGAGCCATCTTTCCCCTAAGGGCAGACACTGACTCTCAATAAAGGGAAAAAAAGCCCTCCAGAACTGAAGACTGTTGGGGAGGAGGAGAGGGAATGTGTGATTAATGAAGGCGCGTGAACAAGCTGTTGTTAAGTAGAGGGCTGGGCAAGGGGCATGGTCTCAGGGTCTCACCGTTAGGATTTTGCTTAATCTGATGGCTTCTCTGGAACATGGGAGGTTTTCCACCTTGGCAAGTAAGAAGAAATCTCTATGGCTAAGAAGGTAACTCCAAAGAAAGGTGGCTGGCCGACCTCTGGAGGCCTCCAGAGAAGTGGGAGGAGGAAAAAGAGAGGAACGGCTCTTATTTTTCTCCCTTATTTCCAACACACCAGTATTTTCCAAAACACAAATGTGCTGCCACAAAACACAGCTGAGCTCCAGCACCCAACCCGGTGTATAATTAATGACAGGAGGGAGCTTAGGTTCAACCTTGTCTCACCCAGAGCCCTTGGCGTCCCTATGTCCACCGGCAGCAACCTGGGAGGCTGCTACAAGTTGCTGTGCCCTGATGAAGTTTGAGGGGTCCTCAGAATCACTTTACCAGAAAAGGTGTGAACAATCTGACCAAGACCTGCCTCTTCCTTGCACGGGTGCCCTGATTCCCCTTGGTCTCCCCTCAGAAATGCGGGCACTGTGAAGTCTGCTAGGACGGGAATTAGAAAGCAGTTCCTGGTTTTCTTTTTGTATTCTGCGGTTTTCCATGGAAAACTGTCCCCGCCCCTCACCTTCAGCCAGTGGGGGAAAAGAGGACATCCCTAGGGACATGGCGACAGACCAGGCAGTCAGCCTAGCAACCATACATAAGGTGTAGTGAGCCTCGGGTGCTGGTGGGCGTCTGCGCCAGGAATAGCTTAAGCCGACAACCAGCCACCCCAAAAGCGTCACGGAGAAGGCTCCGCGCAAAACGGCGGCCTCTGAGGTTCCCGGGTGGACCTCCCAATCCAGCTCCCCGCTGCTGGTGGCATTTCCCGAGATCTAACCAGGGTGGCGTGGGGACGAGAACACAGAGAACGAAGCACTTGGGGGAGGGGGTATTATGTTCCACTAGAATGGGAAGGATAGAGAGGGAGGTAACATCAGATGCGCGGCCTCGCCACATTCCTAAAGTGGCAGCCTCCATGGGTTGCTTCCCAAACTGGGATGCATCTTCAACTTTCTCGCCCTCCCATCACCGCCTCGAGATCCCCCACTTCCTCTGGCCATGTTCGTCCCCCGGGATTCCCAAGTCCAAGAGATTTTCTCCCTTGCCCAGAGGATTTTCCCTTGCTGCTGACTCCACGAACTCATCTCCCCAACAGGTTTCTGAAGTGCGGTCTGATGTGCTCCCCCTCGCCCAAGGCAAGGAGCCGAGCCGAGCCGCAGCAGGTGAGCCGGGCGCAATACGAACCCAGTGGCCCCCCAGCCTCCACGCTGCCCGCGGGGTTGGCTCCCCCTACCCGGCACCACGGCACCCGAGCGGCGCGCGTCCCCCACCCCGGCCCCAGCTGCAGCCGCAAACAACCCCACAATAAACAAGAGGGCAGGATTGGGTGTCCGCGTCCCAGAGCGCACCGGTTGGGGACAACTCCTCACCCAACGTGCGCCGCCCGCTGCCCCAATCCGAGGGCGCAGAGAGAGCAGAGCGCAGGGGAAGTGGCGAGGGGACGGCGGCAGGGATGGAGGGAGGCACGGCGCCGCGAGGAGCAAGGAGGTGGGCTGCAGGGGACGCCGAGAAGCGGCGGGGCTCGCGCAGGGGGCGGGCGCCCGGGCGCGCGTTACCTTGGTCTTGCCCCCGCAGTGGCAGCAAACGGTCCACAGGTACTTGAGCGTCCGCCAGAGCAAGATGATGAAGAGGCCCCCGAAGAAAGTCACCATGGAGGAGGCCAGGAAAGCCCACCACATGCGCTGGCCCCGGCTGTCGCACGGCACCTCCATGGTCACCGGGATGATGAGCGCATCCATCTTGGGCTCGTGGACCGAGGACGAGGAGGAAGAAGAGGAGGAAGAGGAGGAGGAGGACGCGTCTAGGCTGAGATGGTTCGCGTGGATATTGCTACTCATTCTAAGCCTGCTGCCTCCGCCGCCGCCGCCGCCGCCGCCACCATTTGCCATAGCTAGCAACGGGCGGCCGGCGCGGGGGCTCGGGGGAGCTCCTCCCGCCGCCAGCGCCACCCAGAACACCCATCAACAGCCATATTGCTGCTACCGCCGCCGCCGCGGAGCGCGGGGAGGGGGGGAGGCGCCTGGGCTCGGGGCGCTGTGCGCGACCTGGCGGGGTGCGCGGAGATATATACTGCGAGCCGCCGCCCGCCCTCCCCCCGGCCGCCGGCCCGCCCGCCTGGGGGGGAGGGGGCCGGAGCGCGCGGGAGCTCCCCTCCCCGGCCCGCGCCCCGCTCGCCCCGGGCGCCCAGAGACCGGGAGCGCCGCTGGCTGCCCCCGCCCGGGTTCTGCGTGGGCCCCCGGGCCCGCCCTGGCTCTGCGCGCGGGCCCGGGTGTCCGCGCCGCCCGCCGTGCGCCACGCGTGTGCGCTGCTCTCCGGCCGGACCCCTCCCCTCGCGCGGCCCGCGCCGCTAGAGAGCCGCTCTTTGCTTGTTAGGCGGCAACTCGCTAATAATGTATAAGCAGCCCCTCCCCCAGGACGCCCGCGCGGCTGCGCTCGGCTTCCACTCGCCGCCCCTGTGCGCGCCGGGCTGCAGCAGGTTCGCCGCGTCCGGCCGCCGAGCCGCCGCCGCCGCCGCTAGCCCGTGCTCCCGGTGTCCCTGGACCGCGGCGCCACGCGGCTGAGCCTCCGCGGCCTCCCCTCGCTCTGCCTCCTCCGGCTCCTCCTCGTCCCCGTCCTCACCGCCTGAGGCTTTTCGGCGCGCGCCCCGCGTTCCCCGCAGCCGCCAGGAGCAGCAGCTGCAGCAACTGGAGCCGGCGCGGGCTCAGGCCGCCGGAGGCGGGAGGGGTGGAGGCTCGCGGCTCCGGCTCGCCTCTGCTCGGCACCTGGCAGAGGGCCCGCAGACCCCCTCGGCGGCGGCCGGTTTCGCGCCCCTGACCCCCGATGCGCAAGTAGAGCGCCCAAGCCCAGACGCGCGACTCGGGGCCTCTCTCCAACGTGCTACGCCCCCCGTCGAGCGCCCTGGGGGTACCCGATTGGGATGGCAGAGGGCCCATGGCAGGCCGTTTGTTCCCGACGGAGCCCCCAGTGTGCAGAGGAGGAGTGATCAGCTGTCGACCCGATGCACAGGCGGGATGCCACAATATCCCGCCTCAGGGAGGGAGAAAGACCCTTCTCTAGGATACACACCCTAGCTCGACCCCCTTACCCCTAGTTCCCTCTTCCCTCCCCAATTGCTAGGCGCCCCTTGAGTGGTTGGAAAGCAGGGCCAACTGGAAGGCTGGCGGGGGGTCTGTGGCCTTGACAGCAGCAGATGGTTTTTCTGCCTTTTCCGTATTGAGTGGCAAAGGCTGTCTAAGAAAGTGGGCAGGGATGGGCGGGGGGTGCCTGGTCTCGGGCACCGTGCAGACTCCAGTAAGCAATACAGTTCCCCTAAAGTCGCTCCCCTTTTATCTAGCCACAGACTCCATCGCATGAGGAGGGCAGCTGGGGGATGGGATGCCCCAGGCTCCATTCAAGCCCACCTTTCCCCATTAAAGATGAAGGAGCTGGGTGTTTTCAGCAACCTCTAGCCCTCCACCTCCAGGGGAATCCCATCTGTCATTATCAGAAACTTCACTTCATCTGGACACCGCCCTTCCTCCTGCTACCAGTTGGACCACGTTTTCCCAATGCTAATTAAAAGGAAGATGATCGCACTCTCCCCTCAATATCCACAGTGGTTTCTCCAAAGTTTCCAGCTCATTAGTTTAAGCCTAATTGGAATTCTCAGGTTCCTTTCAGCCCTTCCTGTGGGGAGAGCCAAGTTAGCGTCCTTCACTGTGTAGGCTGGTGCTGTTTCTGCCTGAGCCAGAACTCAGCCTCTTTCCTTGAATGGAGATAGAAGGATGTAGGTGCAAGAGGAGGCCAGGCAGGCCAGTTGGGCAGAGTGCTGTTTGCAGCCTCTGTTTCATTCAAAACACATTTATTGTAATAGTATAGATAACTATCAAATCACTATGTTGTAAACAATATAATGTATATCAACTGTACTTCAATAAAAAAAAATACATCCATTACAAAAGAGTCAAGGCCAAGGTCAAAGGGGAAAATGGAATGCCATAAGAGTTTTTCAAAAAGTAGCATGTAAAAGGAAGCTACAGACAGTATTTTCCAGAAAGTAAAATTGTTTGTTATCCAGATAGTATCTGCAGCCTCGTCCTCTGTGTGCATCACCCAGTCCGAACATATCCCTGCCACACCTGTCCCATGTGTGCAAAGGCCCTGGGTCTTTTCCAGCTCAGGGGATACTGACCCCAGAAGTGCTGTGGAGATGTGCAAGAAGGTAACTGTGACCTTGAGGTTACTTGATTTATTAGCCTTCTAAATGGCTGTACTTTGCTGCCTTTGGTCCTCAGCATATGAGGGGAAAGTTAAGGACTTTCCTTAAACGGGGCCCAAGATTAGAAATTTAAAAATAAAACACCCATAACATAAAAAAAGTAGCAAAGTATAGGACTGCCTCCCCAAGGGTATATGAAACCCCCAGAATGGATTTCCCTCCCCTGCAAAATTAAGCTTCCGCAAACCAACAAATCCCCTCCAGGCCTTCCTGGACAGACTCCACAGCCTAATTCCCCCCTAAAACACCAGTCTGGGGGATATCAGCAAGAGGTTATAATTTGCTGTGACTATTTTCATCCCAGCTACAGAGTCCCCAGCTGTGTTTCTCCACTATTATCACCTTCATCATCTCATCCTTCCAGAGGATGCTCAGAGACCATCACCTCCTTCTTCCCTGTTCATCACCCCTGCCTGTACTGACTGAAACTTTTAGCAACTTCTCTGTTCTATAAAATCCATGCTTACTCAGGATTCATCAGAGACCCTCACTGTCAAAGTCAATGTCTTACCATTCCTACAATCCTGTCCCTCATCACCTCCCTGAAAGGCACAACTGGTAGGCACTGAATGAGACAGTGCCACCATCTACCACCACCCTCCAGAAATAGACCTCATTAAGCCTTTGTCCCACTCTCTCCCACTCCTTCCTTCTCACCCACAAACTCTGCAACAGGTTCAGACAACCTGGCACCTGGCCTCAATTATTGAAGAGGTTCTGCCCAGACAGGATGGAACCTCAGGCTTAAAAGACAGCTTAGGTATCTTTCATTCACTTTGTTTCCTCATTTGTAAAATTGGAATAACAGGAATTGTCCTGCCTACCTCAAAGGATTATTTGTAAGGATGAAAAAGAAAATACATAGATTTTGTTTGGAACTACTGTGACCAAAAAAAACCAACAGCTAAACTCCACCTAGATCTGATTCCAGAGCCAGCACAAGTGTGTGTGTATGCACCATGCCATGGAGAGATGAGCCCTGACAGGATTGTTGTGTCCCATTCCCACTTTGCTATTCTGTACCCCCAGACCCCCAAGTTGGGATAAGAACTGAGGCAAACTGCCCCTGCTCTCTGCTACAGCCAGAGGGCCCGACACCCAGGCTGTGGACAGACTCCAGGGCATGGCAGAGCCACTCCCACGTGAATGGGCTCTGTGAACCCTGATGCTCACATGCACTCATTGCCTTCCCACTCCCTGGGATGGCCTCAGAAGTGTGAAGAGCATAAAGAAGCACCTACACATGGCCCCAGTGCATTATTTCTCATCTCGTAGCTGTGTCTGCAGACTGATAATTGAGAGCCATTCTACAAAAACTTAGAGCCTAGGCAAAAGAGGAAACTTCAATCTTCTTTGCTCTAAAAACAATACAACCACTATTTCTAAGTATATTTATAAGTTTCACAGAGGGGAGGGCAGCATCTTAATCATGTGAGCATGTGCCTATGGCAGCTATCAAAATAAACCAGAGTTTAAAGTTTCCGAAGTATTTTAATCTGAACAATCCCAACTGATTTAAAAGAAATGAATAAAACTTAAGTGCATATATATACAAACTAAAAAAAGCAGAGCAACGAAAATAATAGCCAACGAGAAAAAAGAAGCTTACTTATCTAAATGCTGGCCTAACATCATAATTAATGTACACTGGGTTTCATGTTTCTTGGGCCTGGATCCAGTTCCAATATTCATGACAGAAATCTTGATTTTGCCGTGAAACCCGACGGACTCTATAAGTGATCTAGCGCCCCCTGGTGACCCCTTATGGCATTATTTTGTGAATGTTTGAGAAGGGCTTATTAAAAGTCAGAATGATATGAAAATTTCAGAGGAAAGTGCTGCTGTAAAAATCTGCAACCACAAAAATATTAATTATCCAGTTGCTAGTACTACTGGCATATAAAGTGTTTTGATAAAGGAGTTTACCAGAGTTCGTGTTATTATCATGATTTGATGTCAGATCTAAGCTGTAACTACCATTAGTAACCTAACACTACTTAAATTACCACTCTGTTCTCTTCTAAATAGCTAATAGTATTATTATCTATCACCTTCTTCCCTTTCCCTGATCTTCATAAACTCTTTGTGATGCAATAAAGGGCAGTAGCAATTCTATTTTACAGGTAAGGAAACTGAGGCTTAGATCTGCTGGATTACTTGGCATAAAAAGAGTCCCTATATCTTTGGAACAATTTGTCTCTGACTGATAATGGAGGATGATGATCAAAGAGGCTCACCCCTTGAAACTATGCCCAAGAGTCTTTAAGTGCCAAAAGGGAAATTTGGTCCTTACCATGGAGAGAGGGGCTCAGAAATAAGCTTTGAGGGGCTTGTTTATTATAAATATTAATTTTATATTTATGCTTATAAGAATAATTCAGATTCATAGGAATTTGGAAGATAAAATTTTCATAAAAGAATATAAAACCACCTAGAATTCCACTACCCACAGATAACCATAAATATTTTCATATATGTCTTCTGCACTTTTTTCTTGGGTGTGTATTTTTACAAAATAATGGCTAGATTAAACACTTAAATTGTATGTTGTCTTACTTTTCCTTAACATTAAATTGTAAACATTTTTCTCCATGTCATTAAATATTGTGGAAAACACTTTTTGAAAATAATTTAATAATATTCCATTAGATGACATACATACTGCTGACATTTAGATTATTCCAAAACTTAACATCTTTTTAAATAAATCTTAAAGCATGTGTAAATGATTCATAGTAGTCAAAAAGATATCCTTTTTGAAGAAGGAGATTTTCATTGACATTCTCCCATCCTAGACCTAGTACCTATCTTCCAGGGAAGGTGCGTGTGCGAGCAAGCCTGGCTATAGGATACTGCCCAGCCTTGCCCTGCATCACTGGCTTCATATCAGCCAATTCTAAGTGAAGAGCATGTGGGCCAGGACATGGCACAGACAGAAAAGTTCTTCCCTTTTCTCACCCATCAAAGCCAGTGCCTTTGGGGAAAATAGTTTCCTTACTGTCCTCAATCACTGTCCCCAGTGCCAGCCAAGATACAAACTTGCAAGAACATGGTCTTCTTTCCCCTAAACAACATCCATGGCTGGGTCAAAGTAGACCTAACTCCTGGACCATTCCCCAGTTACAACTGGTCTTCCACTTGCGTGCCATAGGGCTTCCAGAATAACAGTTCTGCAAACTGCCATCTCCCTTTCATCTCTGTGATCAGTGTCACCCCACTGATAGGAAGGGCAAAAATTAGCTCGCCCTTTTTACTGTTGGGAAAAGAAGTAGCCAGAGGGAAAGAGATTCTCCTTGATACTTCTTCTGACTTCCAGACTAACAAACCTAATCCTGTTCTTACAGGGACCCTGGTTTGATCTCTGAAAAAGCTCTAGCTCAAGATCTGGACAGCCTAGGGCTCAACTCATCCCTCATGCTTCAAAATGTTCTAATGCCTACATCATAACAGCGACTGTGCAGATGAGCCAAAGACTTAATCCTGCCTCTACCTAGTAGCTCTTGCCACATTTGCAAATAAAGACAATGCTGATATCATCCTTCCCACTTTAAATCCTCCTGAGAATAAGAAGAGTTGAGTCAAAAGTCAGACACCTTTGTGAGTTTCATTTCATTGATTTCCAGTGGCTCCCTTGGTGTCCGCTTTTGGCATAATGTTATCCCTTCGTTTCACACTGACAACTGGCCTCCCTTGAAGTCACATCCCTTCTTCAGTGTTAGTATCTATCCCATAGTTGTCAAGTTTTCTGTGTCGCAAAGATGAGATAATAATGTAATAAGTTAAGAATCATAAACTGTGGAATGTTTGGGAGAGGTAAGGCCATCTGTGTGAACCAAGAAATCCTGCTTTTGCAACATTTTTGCAAAAATATGCAAGACAAAAACCCAATATCACAATATCCTGGGAGTTGCAGAAAAATAAGCCATAATGGGAACACAGACCAATGAACTGACTGCCAAGTTTAAGAGCAAAGGTTATTAAAAGCTTTTATGGAAGGAGCTTGCCCTGTTTCATCAGAAGAATGCTGTTAGATTTTCAGACTGTATGGAACACCATTCTAGGAACACTGGCCAAGGAGGAGAGGTTGGTTCTCATCACCGGCAGGACCTGAATCTTTGAGTCACCCACAAAGGGGGGTTTTCCCAGTGGATTTTATATGGCTGTCCTAATTAAGAAAGGGAGCTATGCCAATTGCCTGCCTATTCTAGCAAGTCCAAAACCCAGAGAGGAGTGACCTCTGGTTTCTCCAGATACTGAAGCCACTGGTGGTTGGGGACATCCATTGAATGCCTCAGCAACTCTCCCTGGGACTTACATGACATGGGCTTACATGAGCACAGACTTCAGCTGCTTCTAGAAAGACACCTCACATATGCAGCTGGGACAGAACAGACTGTGAGAGGCAGACACTGCCAGGCACATGGCTGAGACTTTGCTTTTAGAAAACCTCCAGGAGCACCAGGACCCTGTGCTAAATGCACTTTCTGCAGGGTACTATGCTGGATTGATGACTTCCAAAGCATCCTTTTGGTAACCTATAAATCTCATTTTGTACTTCCCTCCAAACAACAAAACCGAAAGGCGTAAGGTGAACAAGCCGCCCTGTCCTGGGAACTCCCTGGGTGATGGACAGTCATGGACTTAAAGCTTTTTATTTGACTTGCTCTTGGCCCTTCTATCAAGATCTGTCTTGGTGACACTATACTGAGAGGATTGGTTGGTTTGTATAAGTGGCTTTTATTTCAGAAGGTAATACATACTCTGTTTTAAGTATAATGGCTCACATGGAAATTCCAGCCCCTTTGTCATTACTATAGAAATTCAATCATTCATCATCTAGTGGCCCACTGAAATGACTTTCTATTAAACTCAATGGGGAAGACAGTTGGAGTCAGAACCAATCTAAGGACTGAACAGAATTAATTCCCAAGT